CTGTACTTATTGTAAGTTATTGTATTTTTATACTTAATGTCATGTGCCTTATTTGTTTTGTGTTAATGTAAATGTCATATAGTGCACTGCTGTTGCAGACCACCCACAATTTTCGTTGCACCCCACCGTGCAATGACAATAAAGCCTATTCTATTCTAATCCCAGTGATATGCTTGCATAACACCTTATAAGTCATACTCAACCGTAGTTGAGAGGACCCTATGAACAGCAGGGTATGTGTGTATTCATTCAAAGGACCTGTGCCTTTCAGAGCTACAGGCTGAATGAGCAATCTTACTGGACCACACTGAAACCTAGCCATGTTTTACAGTTGTTACACCAGCTCTGCCTGGTCTGGCACCTGGTGCTAACCTTGTGATTAACAGATAAATATGCATGTAAGTCCATGGAAAGATCACTTCCTGCTACCCACTGCCTGCTGGTGTACCCAAAAATACCAACTGCACACTGATTGGACGGGTGAAATGCCTTGCGATACCGATTGCTCAGCCTTGGCGTATACGCTATCTCACTTTCGAGCACAGTTCCCATCGGACAGCCAGAGCCAAACGGACTGAGCGAGGGCTTACTTCCTCCACTGCTTGATCTGCTCCGGGTTGGAGTACTCCTTCAGACACTCGGTGATGTGGTCCCCGATTTTGATGAGGCACTGCCGGGTGTGCTCCAGCTGCTCCCTCTCCGACAGGCCCTTCTCCGGCCGGTCCAACTGCTTCAGGGCCGCCTTCACTGGGCGCATCCTCTCCTTGCACTGAGACACGGGGCGGGGGTTGGGGAGAAAAAACAACACACGAGTCACTAGTGCTCATGACTCTGGGGCAAGCCAGGGCAATCGGACACTAGCCAACACATTCAGGGCACCCAAGAAGGTGCTACACATTGTTAGTGGTGGTGGTGGCAGCCATCATTGGACATCATACCCATCCTTGAATGTAAAACACTTTGTGATCAATGAGAGGTGCTATACAAATGCAATGACCACGATTATTATGATTACTAATTTGGTTACTATTATCATTATTATCATCGTCTAATTCAAAGACCAAATGGCAATAAAAGTAGCCTGGGGAGTTCTGGTGAGTGTTGCTGTGAGGATTGATTCTTTCTAGCATTTGCGGAAACATTGGCAATGTGCATTGAAATACATGCTCATAACTGAAGATGACACAGTCACTCAGGTATGGGTCTCATCACAGAAGGCTGAGAATCAGAGGTTAGACACTGAGGCTGTGTGTGTTGCAGTTGTTTCACTCCTCTTCTACAGCTGCTACAACCTCAAACAGGAATACACAGACTGTTTGTACCCTGCTGGATGGAACTGAGGTTCCTCATCTGCTGTGGGACTCACCACACTGAACGTCTTCTGGTCAAGCTCCTCGGACTCCTCGGAGATGGGAACATTGTCACCGCTAGCGGTGATGTGAACTGGAGTGTCGGCGGGCTTTTTTGACTTTTCCCGAATCTCCACTTTTACCTCAGTTATCTGAAAATCAGTCACAGAACTCGCACTGAGAAACCTCATTAAGGCATTTTGATCCTTCAGGTACCAGTGGAAAATGTCCTTGTTTTACTTTGTGTTTTAACACCTGGTTTCCTTATGTTTCACACAATATGAATGTACTGGATTAGACTGCTGCCACATTTCCATAGTTAATATCTGTCGGACTGCTGTAGTTGTACGCGTAACACTATTGTATTTTGCTTTGCTATTAGAAGTAGGCTAAAGTGAATACCCTGGCATGGTAGCCAATACTCCACTGTGCACACTTTGCTTGCATTACAGAAAGAGTAGGCAACCCTGGTCCAGGAGGACTTGAGATGCTTCCAGTTCAATCCTTATAGCTTACATAACTGGATCAATTATTAGACTAAATCCATGTCGGCAACCATATTTTCCAAGCGCTCTGTATTTAACTATTTAACACTGACACCTAGAAAATCTACTGGATTTTGGCATTCCACAAAGACAATTACCTGCCAAGGCCATAGTGAACAGCATGTGTGGTTTCATTAGTGTGGTAATAACCAAGAATTCCCCAGAACTGACCTTCTCCTCTTTGATATCCTCCTTCCTGTGAGCTGCCTCCAAGGGTTTGGACTCCTTCTTCTCCTTCAGTTCCTTCTTCTCCTTCACATCACGGCTATCCTCCTTCTTATCCTTTTTGCTCTCCTTCTTGATCTCCTTTTCCTTTATTTCCTTCTTTTCTTCTGGTTCCTTTTTGACGACCACCTCTGGTTCTGGCTCGTCCTCGGCTTCTTTGACCGCTCTTTCAGCTTTGGCTCTTCTGCTGGGTGTCTTCACTGGAACAACCTCCTACAGGCAAACAAACACCACTCATTTATTCCTTTACAAGGCATGAAGAGAATCCACGTATAAGAGTTTTGACTGGTTTACAATGTCACCAGGTGGTCACTCCCCACAATGCTACAAACAAACTGTTTACAAGTGTAGACAGATAAAGTAGGGTGTAAAACCCACTGCTACACTGGTTGATGTGGCACAATGTATGAATATACTTTATATATTAACACTGTTGAGAAAGCGGTAGTACATATACAAACCCAAATCCACTGACTTGGATCCTAAATGCTAAATCTGAGCTGAATTTAAGAGTTTAACCTGAATTACTCTGCTATACTTGCTAAGCAAATGCCCTAATCCACCACAATTTGTATAACTTGCCTATTATCCATTTATACAGTTTATTATTTACTGAATCCATTCAAGTTGAGCACCATTTTCAAGGGTTCAACAAGGCTGGCACACATGGGAATCAAACTCGCAACCCTTGGGTTACAAGACCTGCACTTAACGCTATGCCACACTGCAATCCTGTCTGGCGGTTGGGTTGATCTTTGCAATGCTTTAATCATGACGTACCTTTTCCTCCTCCTTCTCGTCCTCCTCCTCCTCGGAGCTCTTGTCGGAAGGAGGCGGGGAGGAGTCGCTCTTCGCCACTTCCTCCACCTTGGCCGGCTTCACCGCCTTGTTCTTCTTGTTCCTGGGTTTCCTCTTTCGGGAGCTGGCCTGCAGACACACACACACGCGCGGATTTTAGCGGCGACGCACACCGCCTCGCGTTTTTGCGCGCGAGCGGAAAGCCCGCAGGGGGGGGTCAGCGGTTTGGCATTCCGGGAACGGCGCGGGCGTTCGTTCGGGGAACGAAACGCAGCACGGCGGACCGGCTGTCCCTGACAGGTGGCGGTACGCTCGCCGGCTGAGGGCGACGGCCGCCACCACTTCCTCAGCCGCGAGTCAAACCGAAAGTGAGCGCTCAGCAGAAGTGCCCTGCCTCTGCCGGCGAGATCTGGCTCATCTGCCCCACTGCCTGCCAGCTGTGCAGCCCCGCACACCAACCGTCAAGATGGAGGACACAGGTGGCTGTCCCAGTTCAAGGGGCCGCGGCACTCCGCTAAAGTGCCGTGAGGATAGAGGGGTATGGTAGGAAGGTGCCTTATTTCTGGCTGCTTGGTTGGCTGTTTAAGGGATACAGGACTCCATTTGTACGGAACAGCAAAAGATTTTTCTGAATCAATGCACTGTTAATAGCCCATAATATGCTGCTGTGATTTATTAGGCGATCAGTGTTCACACCGCTGATGTGCCCAACAATTCTGACGTGTTCAGTGGTGTTCATGAAAAACATCTGATGACTGACTGAAAATGGTGAATGCCTCCATTTCTAATGCATAAAAAATATTGTAACCTTTACATTTAATTTACACAGCATACCACAAAATACTACATTTATAAAATGAATATACGCTGCAGCAACACAACTGCAAGCACTCAGAATGCCCACTGCAAATACTAACTCAAGCTTGAGCTTCAAGTTAGCAAGATCACAGCCTTAGCAGAAGACAAGGCTGAAAGAACTTTTCCTGTGGCCTATGACCACTGATGGTTCACACCATATAATGCACAACAATCCCACACAACATGAAGCCTGTTACTACCTACTCAATTATGAATGAAATGGAACACTATCAGCTAGTCCCTCCCTGCCCCTCCCAGGGCTTCCACCAATCAGATCGCACCTTCACCTTCATTAGCCCACCCCGCAGAGCTCCAGACAACCCCATGAGAACAAAAACAGAAACTACCACAAGGAACGAAGATACTGTTCTGTGCTCAAGAAATTCTAACAATTTTAGTTATTTGTGGACGTACGTGTTTTGAAGTATCCTTCTGATATCAGAATCAATGAAAATGACAGGGTCTTTGATTTGTAGTGCAAAATGATAATTAAAACTGGTATATGCTTAAGATTTTAATTCATGCTAGAGCCACTGCATGAGACTCTTACAATGCTTAACTGCGACTCACCGTTCCAGCTTGCCTCTGTGCCTCCTTTTTGGCCAGATCCCTGCTCAGTAATTTAATGAGGTAGTCAGCTCTCGTCTGCAGCTGCTTGGCCTGTGGCTTCTTATCAGGGTCATCTGGCAAGAGCTGAAAAGGAAGGGGGTGGGGGGGGGGGGAAGACACCAAAAAGAATAAGTGCATCAATAATACAAAGCTGGTGTCATGTTCCCAGAGGGTGACTGCAAATAAGGGAGGATCCTGCCAGTGAACTGAGCCCCACCTTGTGTGTGAGGTTGAGGTCCGGGTCCATCTTGATCATCTCCCAGCTACCGTAGCCGTACTCGTAGATGCCTATGAGCAGGTTGGAGTCGTCCTCTTTGCCCCATTCGATGTCGAAATGAGCCGCCTTCGAGTGGCACGGAATCGTGTACCTGCGCAGGGTGGGGAGACAGCGTCCAGTCAAAATGAGTACACGCCAGCAGTTTGCACACTCCCATCTGGGGACCACCGAGGGTTCCAGCCCTCTAATATAACACATAGACTACATTATATTACATTACATTATCTGCATTTAGCAGCACTCTTATCCAGAGTGACTTACATTGGTTACAGTTTTTACATGTTATCCATTTATATACCTGGATACTTAATGGGTTAAGTACCTTGCCTAGGGGTACAGCAGCAGTGGCCCATTGGGGAATCGAACCAGCAACCTTTTGGTTACAAGCCCTGCTTCTTACCACTATGTTACACTGCCTCAATGATAAACAACTAATGATAAACAAAGAGACTTTTGAAATAAACTTGGAGAGGTGTAAGTTTTCTTCTTGCGTATGATAAACCTGAACTAGGTATGGTTCTGTTGATGTAATAAATATTAAAAACCCTAATGAGACATTACGAACTCTTTTGTGTTGAAAATCGTCGTTCTTTCAGGCGGAGACAAACTTCCCTAAAAAAATGTGTTTATTTATACTGTTGTACATTTAAGGGCTACAATAATTTATAGTGGGCGTGTTAGAAAACTGGTCATGCAGGTGAAATAGGGGAAGTAGGCTGTGTGGAAACCCTTGTTTTAAAGCAGAACAGGTCTCTGTACCTCTTTCTCTCCTCTGGGTCGGCAGGAATGGACTTGTGGAGTGGTGCCAGCTCCTCCTCGTGAGAGATCACCAGCTTGGCGTTCACCTGCACCCCCGAAATCCGGAACGTGGGCCCCTTCACTTTCCCCCGTCTGCCTCCTGGGGGCGTCGAGAGAAGGGAAGAATAAACAAACGCCCCGTCCCGGGCGGCTGGACAACGTCACATTTTAAGAATGAAGGAGTCTGAATCCCTCGTGGAAATGTCCTGGTTTGTTAGATTTGTTTTAACACAGCTTACTTTTCCCCACAGTCCTTAGAGATGCTGTTTACATTATGGACGGCGTTATGAATTACCTGAGGTCTTTTCTGGTCCGCAGGGGTTCTCTCTCAGGGTTTTTATGCAGCCGTTGTGTACGGTTTCGGCCAGCCGTTTGAGATCGTATTCTGACTTATCCACAAGCTCCGCGTCCCGGGCGAGTGCGTCCAGTCTGAAACAGGGGGGCAGTTGATGAATGAACTACACAGCATGCTAAAAATAAGCATGTCTCCAAATCTATTTCTAGTAGGTTTACCTTTCCAGTGGTCCACCAAACTTCTTGTAGCTCTTGATAAATCTATTAAAAGAAACATAAAGGAACGAAATGAAGAAAATGTATAAATGCATAACATTACTGTCAAATGCTCTTACCCACTAACACCTCACACAGGTTATTTTAGCTGTCACCCATTTATACAGCAAGGTATTTACTAAGGCAATTGCAGGTTAAGTACGTTGCCCAAGGGTACAGTAGCAGCGCCCTAGCGGGGAATCAGACCAACAGCCTTTAGATTACAAGCCCTGCTCCTTACCACTACTCAACACTGCCACCCAAACAACAATTATATATGAACTTAGGGAGAAAAGTTTAAGATTAAGAAATAGTTGAAGAGGTTGGATTTGGGTTTCACACACTGAGAAGAGCAAAGGGCAATTCTGGGGTTTCTTGCTGGACATTGCGAGGAAAAAAAAAAAAAAGAACCATCAGAAGCAGCTGAAATGGTCAATTATCCGAAGAATTCAAAACGGCCGATTCCTCACCTTCTAATCTCCGCATCACTGAAGCCTTTGATGTTCTCTCGCGGGATAGTTCGCGGTCTCCCTCGTTTCTTGGGACGCTTGCGGTCTGAGACGGAGTCGCTGTCCGACCCAGAGTACCTTCTGTTTCTGCTGCGCCTCCCTTCGTTCCCGTTAAAGTTTATCTGGAGGAAAAAAAAATTTCATTCATTCAGACATTCCGAGCCCAGGACCTTGCCTTCGCTAATGACCACAATGAATGCAATTCACTGCTTTTGGACATCCGTTAAATGGAAATCAAGTTAGAATCCCTGACAATGAGGGAAAGACAGATGTACAGTACTGTATGTACTCTAAGTGCTGGCTGCCTGACCTGATCAACTACACAAAAGCTCATTCAACTCCTGAAACACCCATGATGCAAGTCCAGTCACTGTACATGTCCCACATATTGCTGCAATGGCTTTGTAAGCTGCGCTTTAAGCTTGTGTCGCAGATGTAGGTGTCTGTTGGTCAGTGATTGTGTGCTTGAATTCTTCTGTTAGTGAGCTGTGGAGCAAACTTCCTCTCAGAAAGAGAGTGAAGTGAAATGTGAGACCTGACAGCTAAAGACAGCCAGTGTCAGTCATTTCCCCATTCGATGAGCAGACGCACCTGTTTGGCACAGTTCCGCATGCGGGGCAGGAGGTAGATCTCCTCCAGCTCCTTCTGCCTCTCCTCCTCCTCCAACCTCCTCCTCTGCTCCTCGGGAATGATGTCGTCCCAGCTCCTCTGGTTGCGATCAGAGTCTATGTCCATTTCCTCGTCGTCCATTGCGGAGAAGTTTGCAACCTGCAGGTGGAGCCAAGTTGTGGATGAGAAGGACCAAGAAAGGCTGTTACTAAGCTAAATCCTTAAGCGCTGTTCTCAAATGAGGGGATGCTTATGTCTCGACTGTGTCTGGCTGGTACCTTAAACTGTGAGAGCAGCTCCTCTCCAACTGTGGATGGACCGGGGTCATTCTCCCTGGTCTCAGCTCTTTTCAGGATCTCATCGATATCCATTTCCTGTCAGAGGGGATAAAATGCAAAACCTGTTATTGAAAAAGCAGATCTGACAGAAAATCAGCAGGGTACATCCATTTATAAGAAAGCCTTCCTGACCTGTGGTTCCTGCTCCTCTCCTTCCTGCTCTTTGAAAAGCTCTTCAGCACCAAACTTCAGAATTGCAGACAGCTCCTCCTTGTTGAATGGGGTGGAACTGCAAGCACAAGTGCACATATTTAATACAAAAGATCGATACCTCAGAACTAGGTCTGGCAATGTTGATGTTCCATATTTAAGCATTTCCCCACATTTATCTGTGAGCTGACTTGGAAACTGTGTCCCAAACACCTTAAATGGACAGACCACTTGCAGACGTAAATGTCTTTTTCTCAACATGTTTGCATTTTACTACACAGGGATTGTTGTTTCACAGCAATGTTTGAAAAACATTGTCTGTCCAGTCAAAGAGCACAGTTAAACTGGTCATGTGTTACAGTTTAAGGGCCTCCCCTGAATAAGTTCTCACCTGGATGGGGCAGAACCAGTGTGGAGGACAGTCTTCCCTGTAGTGTCCATCCTCTGGATGACTAGGTGGTCCAGCACCATCTTCTTTTTCGCTCTCTCTATGATGTCCTCTTCCACGGACCCCTTTGTCACCAACCGGTAGATGTTTACCTTAAAAAAAAAAAGAGAGACACCCCTTCATACTCTGGGGAATGCTCTAGGGCCATTTCTCTCGACTGAGTTAAGAAAAAAATTAACAAAAAATACAAAATACAATATCTTCTCGGATGATACCTGTCTTTTCTGCCCGATCCTGTGAGCTCTGGCTTGGGCCTGCAGGTCGTTCTGGGGGTTCCAGTCGGAGTCGAAAATGACGACTGTGTCCGCAGACGCCAGGTTGATCCCTAGGCCCCCAGCTCTCGTGGACAGCAGGAAGCAGAAATCCTGTGAGTATGACACAGCATAAATGAGTACTCACAATACTGAACCAGGCAACAATACACATAGGTGATTTGGTGTTACTGTTAATAGTAATACCTGTAGTGGTACTATCAACAGTAGTGTTTATTTGCTTACATTCAGGGTGACTCACATAGAACATGTTTAAATAGCTGATGAGTTTCTGAAGCAATTGAGGGGAAGTACCTCATCTAGTGACCCTATCATTACTGAGTACACATGCTTGGATAAAAGATGCAAATCTATCCTTCAACAATGTCAGGGGGTCAATTTAGTAACAAAAGAGCATGGCTGCTCAACACACACTTACCTCTGAGTTCTCAGCATTGAAGTGATCCAAGGCCTGCTTCCTCATCTCTCCTTTAATGGAGCCATCCAATCTCTACAAGGAGAACAAGAGTTTAGACAACATAGAACCTAGAAAATTCTTAAACGGCCTCCGTTCACAGGCACCTCCGCACTCCATGTGAAAATACAACAAAGAAGTGCCTGATTGGAGGGACTCAGCATTTCTAAAACAGCATGTGAAGCACTAACTAGCCATATGCCGGACACGTCCAACTAAAGCACTTTTTTGTTCAATTTCCTAACACCTACTGACGTCACTGATTTCACCATAAATCCAAACTCATTATAAAAATCTGGTAGGCAGATGCTAAAGAGTACTCGCAGAGTGCCGTCTTAAGTTAGAGACAGGGGTCAGACGAGGACGGCGCCTCACCTGGAAGAGGAACTGGCGGCTCTTCAGGTACTCGGCCAGGATGTCCAGCATGCGGACCATCTGGGAGAAGATGAGGACGCGGTGGCCTCGCTCCTTCAGCCTGACCAGGAGCTTGTCCAGAAGGATCAGCTTCCCGCTGCTGCGGATCAGGTGCTACGGGGGAGAAACAGGGAAAGGGAGAAAGGGTTAATAACTACCCCTGCTATCACCCCTCAGTCTACAGCCATATCACACAGATTTAATCCATCTATAACACAAGCCTGATTCACCTCATACACCTTTGACTGGAAGAAACCATTGGACTGGATGTGTGTTTTACATACATACAAGGACTCCCAATACAACATATACATAAAACTCAATGATAAATCATGCTGCAACACAAAGGCCTTTTATACAGCCAACCTCATCACCTATGAAGCCATATCAGAAGATGCCCTCCCTGCCACAAACCCTCCATCTGAAGACATTAGAAAGACTATACTATACTAAAGACTCAGTTACTTGTAAACTAAGTAAGAGAAACACAGCAGTGTTGTACAATGCCACTCCTGTGTGGCAAGCTCACCTGCAAGGCGTCTTGCTTGTTGTAGATCTCGTTTTCCTCCGGTGGCTTGATGAGGTAGCAGTGGTTACAGCACTTCTTTAGCTCCATCATAATGTTCAGGAAGCCCGAGGTGCTCCCTTTTGTGCCTTTACTGAGAGCCTTGTAGTTTCTGGTTAAAATCCACCTGGTGCAAGGAAAAGCGTACAGTGTGATTACGATGCGACACGCAGTCTAATCTGCCTCCTGGTCTGCTGCACTTGTCTTTTATTCTGTTGTCATTTTACTTCAACAGGATCCCTCTTGGCCTTTGTGGCTATTGTACATTCCAGGCCAATGCAGACCGGAGCTTTCACATTTGAATTCAGAAA